TAGAGCCAGCGGCCTCCCCACCGGCTTCTCAGTCCCTTCCTCCTGCCTCCTCTGCACACGCCCAGCTCACAGCCAAGCCAGATTTGCTGAGCTCTGCTCTCCCGCCTCCCTCTTGCCAACCCCCCCCCCTGCTCGGGCCCTGGCAGATCTAGTCTGTCTGCTTACTAAGCCAACCTCCAGGCCTGGCTGCCACTTCCGAGATAGCTGCATGAACCAGGGTTGGAGGCAAACAGGTGCCAGACTGTGTGGGGAGGGAGCACCACTAGGACCCAGAATGTAGAAAATTGTCTGCTGCTGGTCCAGATGTATTCTCTCTGCTCTAGATGCACAGGGATGGGGGAGTGCTGTGCTGGAGGCAGGAGGGCACAAGAGACACAACAGGCAGGCAGGAGAAAAGGAGGCACTGGCCTGTCATTTGAGCTCCCCACCTCAGGTGCCAAAATGTTATGGGCTGGTCCTGGCACTGACTGCCCCACAGCAAGGTGGGAGGAGGGAGCTCCCTTCTTCCGCGAAGTAGGGGGTACCCCCGGCCACACCAGCGGGAGGCAGACACATAGCTGGGGGAAGACTGGGATTGGATCCCTGCCTGAAATCCCAGCCCTTAGAGGAGGAAGAGTCCCTGGGATTGTCAATAAACTTCCCGTATCATGTGTATTGTAGGGTAAACTGAGGCAGTCCATGGTATCTTGCTGAGAACTGAGTACTCAAATCCAAAATTATTAGGCCAGGCCTGGAAAGCATACAGACAGTAGCTACCGTGACCCTGGTTCCCCTGGCAACCATATTTCAAAGGGGCCTCACTCTGATAAGGCCTGGCTGGTACCAGCCAGGCTGCACGGGTTCTCTCACTGTCTCCTGTAATTTCAGATAAATAAGCTTGGATCCCAAGGACAATGCCAACCCAAGGAAATAATCATCTCGCAATAGACACATCACAATTGCAGCAAACAAGTTACCATCAACATGTCCATTTTGTTTATGTTGGCTTATTTCGCTTGTTAGGAACAACTTTGTATTAGTGATAGCATGTTTAATCGGCAGTGACCTTGTGTAACCTTCATAGCTCGTTGGCTTATGAGATCATCTCATTTCTGCAGCTAGACCTATCAAATCACTTTCCCTGCTGCCCATCTGTTGTCTATATAATCTTAATGCAGGCCTGCAGAAGCTCATTGTGTGGCCCGTGCTAACTATGGGAGGCATGATCCCCATCTGATCTGCTGGCCGGGCAGAAGAGCAGAGTGCTGCTGAGAAAGGGCAGATGCCATGACGCTGGTGTGACCTGGCAGCCCAGCCAGGTAGGGAGAAACAAATGCCAGGGCCCAAGTGGAGATATGTGTGCTTGTATTGTGCTTTTGTTTTGTTTTCTGCGTGACAAAAATGTTTAGCCTGCATGTTTGGTATTTTTTGGGAGAGCATCCCTACTTGTGGGGGGGGCGGCTGTTTTCTTTGGGCTAACATGGCTCTTGCCGCTTTCCGAGTTGTGCAGGCCTGATCTAAAGTTTGATTTGGTTA